GTCTGAATATCACAAGTAACGAAATTCTAGTAGAAACAAGTTCTATTATAAAAATATCAAAAGTTGAAGATTCGGATTATGACAAAAAAGCTCATTGTTCTTTTGTTGAGCCGTATGGTGTATATGGGCAATTTTCTGATGTCGAATGCGACATTTGTATGCAATCAAACTAAAAAAAATTTGCCTAGATTTTTTTATATTTTTTTCTAAAGTCGAATCTTAAAGCTCTTGGTTAGCATTATAATCAGTGCTAAGATGGATTTGGGCGATTGTTTATTATCAAGATAATCACAAAAATTTGAGGCATTCGCACGCGACCCAGACAGAAGTCACTTTTTCGAAAACCAGCTCAAGCACTGACTTCAGCGAAACGGGATGGATAATTGTAATGCAATTAATTTTTAAATGTTAGGTATTGATTGTTCTTATAAATGCATTTCGTTTGACTTAAAAATATTAAATAGGTTTTTTTATACCCTTGCGGAGGGTATTATAATTTCGTCCAAAAGTGTGAAACGCAGTGAAGAAGACATCTCCGACCCTATAAAGTATATATATTCTTGATCAGGATCACCTCCTGAGTTGATATAAGCAAGTCCGTCTGTCTGTCTGTCCGTTTCTACGCAAACTAGTCTCTCAGTTTTTAAGCTATCGACTTGAAACTTTGCACACACCCTTCTTTCCTTTGCACGCAGTATATAAGTCGGAACGGCCCGGATTGGCCGACTATGTCCTATAGCTGTCATATAACTGAACGATCGGAAGTGACCCAACTTTCGTGTTTTTGAAGATAGAAAGCTGGAACATAGTATAGATTATATCTTTGGTCAGTTGATCCGGCCTACCAAATTTCCTAACGATCGGTCGACTATATCTTATAGCTGCCATATCACTGAACGATCGGAAATGGTATTTGGTAGAAATATCCACTTTAGTATTTTTGAAGATAGAAGCTTGGGACTTTTTTTTAGATTTTTTATTTTAATAAATTGGTTTTATTATGATGTAATCATAAGGATCGGCCAACTATATCCGATGTTTGCGATATATATCCGGTTTTAACTGCAAGCGTATATCAACTACGGATCCGTCCTAAGTTAGCTTTCCCTTCTTGTTATACCCTTGCAGAGGGTATTATAATTTTGGTCAAAAGTGTGCAACGCAGTGAAGGAGACATCTCCGACCCTATAAAGTATATATATTCTTGATCAGGATCACCTCCTGAGTTGATATGAGCATGTCCGTCTGTCCGTCTGTCCGTCTGTCCGTCTGTCTGTCCGTCTGTCTGTTTCTACGCGAACTAGTCTCTCAGTTTTAAAGCTATCGTCTTGAAACTTTGCACACACCCTTCTTTCCTTTGCACGCAGTATATAAGTCGGAACGGCCCGGATCGGCCGACTATATCCTATAGCTGCCATATAACTGATTGATCGGAAATGGTATAACTTTGGTGTTTTTAGAGTTAGAGAGTTCAAATTTGACATGTGAGCTATTTTTGGCAAAACATTACGTCATGCCAAATTTCATAAGGATCGGCCGACTATATCCTATAGCTGCCATATAACTGAACGATCGGAAATGACCCAACTTTCGTGTTTTTGAAGATAGAAAGCTGGAACTTAGTACAGATTTAATTCTTGGTCAGTTGATCCAACCTACTAAATTTCATTAGGATCGGCCGACTATATCCCATAGCTGCCATATAACTGAACGATCGGAAATGGTATTTGGTAGAAATATCAACTTTCGTATTTTTGAAGATAGAAGTTTGGAATTTTTTTAGATTTTGTATTGTAATAAATTGGATTATATATTCCTATTCCCATAAGGATCGGCCAACTATATCCGATGTTTGCGATATATATCCGGTTTTAACTGCAAGGGTATATAAACTTCGGCTCCGCCCGAAGTTAGCTTTCCTTTCTTGTTTTAAATTGAACTTGAATCACTGTTGCACGCTACATGTCGCACGCGACCTTTTCTTCCACCATACTTTTTATGTTGTTTTCGTTTCTTTTTTAGAAATGGGAAGTGCAGAATTAAAAAAAATTTAAATTATTTTTAATGCGTTCAATATTTTTTTTATTATTTCTTACATCAATTTTAAACTTAACAAAATATCTTCAATAAATTCAATAATGTCTGTCCATTTTTTGATACATTTTCATTTACACTAAAAATAGTATACAAAAAAAATATATTTAAAAAAAACAAGAAAGGAAAGCTAACTTCGGGCGGAGCCGAAGTTTATATACCCTTGCAGCTAAAACCGGATATATATCGCAAACATCGGATATAGTTGGCCGATCCTTATGAGAATATGATAATATAACCCAATTTATTATAATACAAAAACCAAACCTAAAAATGTCCCAAACTTCTATCTTCAAAAACACAAAAGTTGGGTCATTTCCGATCGTTCAGTTATATAGCAGCTATAGGATATAGTCGACCGATCCTTATGAAATTTGGCATGTCGTAATGTTTTGCCAAAAATAGCTCTCGTGTCAAATTTAAACTCTCTAACTCTAAAAACACCAAAGTTATACCATTTCCGATCAATTAGTTATATGGCAGCTATAGGATATAGTCGGCCGATCCGGGCCGTTCCGACTTATATACTGCGTGCAAAGGAAAGAAGGGTGTGTGCAAAGTTTCAAGAGGATAGCTTCAAAACTGAGAGACTAGTTCGCGTAGAAACGGACAGACAGACAGACAGACAGACAGACGGACAGACGGACAGACGGACAGACGGACATGCTATCAACTCAGGAGGTGATCCTGATCAAGAATATATATACTTTATAGGGTCGGAGATGTCTCCTTCACTGCGTTGCACACTTTTGGACAAAATTATAATACCCTCTGCAAGGGTATAAAAACAGCAAAAAAAAAACAATTTTTTTAACTTACAATGTCGCACGCGACAAACTTTAAAAAAGTTCTAAGCACGAATTGCTGCTTATATTAAACCAAAATTTTTTTTAAATTTCTTAATCGCCAAAATATACCTTTGGGCACGATATTTGACGCTTATTGCACAAAAACATTGGATGCAATGATAACAAATATTCTTTTTTCACTGTTAAACGCGATGTTGGTAAAGACAAATAAGCTGTTTAGAACTTCGCCGTTATTAGTATCGTTTGTTTCACATATTTTTCATATTCTTTGAATATAAATCACGATTTAAAAGAGTGAATGTCAATTCTCAATGACTGTAAATGCAGAACATTCGCACTTGGTCTACTTAGCATTGAAATATTTCAAAACGTGTCATGAGTAAACATAAAATTGGCTTACATAAGTTACATTTTATAGTTACATTTTACAAATATGCGAAAAAAATACTTTTATGAACTTTGAATTTTTTGACTGCGGTTGACCTTTCTGGAGAATTGCCCTTATACTGTTAGATTCCGGACCCTTAATAAGCTGTATTGGTGAAGAATTAGCTATGGAAATCAGGACTGATAGGCAAGCGTACAAACCATTAAACGTTAGTCGTATTATTTTGGCAAAAATAGCTCTCACCTAAAATTTTAACTCTCTAACTCTAAAACCACCAATGTTACACCATTTCCGATCAATCAGTTATATGTCAGCTATAGAACATAGTCGGCCGATCCCGGCCGTTCCGACTTATATACTGCGTGCATACGATAGAAGGGTGTGTACAAAGTGTCAAGACGGTAGCTTTAAAACTGAGAGACTAGTTCGCGTAGAAACAGACAGACAAACGGACGGACAGGCGGACATGCTTAGGACAACTCAGGAGGAGTTCCTGATCAGGAATATATGAACCTTATATGGTCGGAGATGTCTCCTTCACTGCGTTGCACACATTTGGAAAAAGTTATAATACCCTCTGCAAGGGTATAAAAACCGGGACCGGTTTTTCGGGAATTTTTTGGGCTTGAAAGTTCCTAAACGAGTAATTATAAACCGATTTTAAGATTTCTGACGTTTTTCAATAGATTAATGTTGTAGCTTTTGAAAAACATTGATCTTCAATTTATGAACAAAAAAGGTAACATTTTTACACAAGAAACTGACATTTTTGCATTTTACTCGTGTTTTGGAATTTTAACGTCATTTTTTCGGTACAACTTACCAAAATTCTATAATTTTTGACATATATTAATTTTCAGACCATATGTCAGTTCAAAGAACAGTTCAAAACCACTACTGCACTGTGTATTGATTATTTCTGATTTTTATTTTTTGCTCAGAGAATAATGATTATTTCTGATTCTTATTTTTTTCCTCAGAGAATAATGATCATTTTTTGGTTTTTAAAATAAATCTTATAATGATTAAGGTCCTTATTAACACTAACCCATTTATGGTACTGATTAACGAACTTTGTTTGAATGTATTTGGAAACTGTACTTGTTCTTTAGACACTGATTTTTAAAGAGTTAGTCAATTAAATTTAAGACTTCCTCCTTTTTTCTACAGACCCTTAGCTATATTAATAGTTAATAGACACTTAACTATTTAAGGCTTTTTGATTAACTATGGCGAAAGATTTTTGAATCTTCCAGGATCTCTTGACGATTTACTTAGCATGGCTTAGAAGCTCGATAACTTTTGATTCTTTAATCTTGCAGATCCATGTATTGGCGGCTATAGGATATAGTCGCCGATCCGGGCCGTTCCGACTTATACTGCGTGCGTAGGAAAGAAGTGTGTGTGTAAAGTTTCAAGACGACAGCTTAAAAACTGAGAGACTAGTTTGCGTAGAAACGTAGCGTAGACAGACGGACAGACAGACGGACAGACGGACATGCTTACATCAACTCAGGTGGTGATTATGATATATATATACTTTATAGGGTCGGAGATGTCTCCTTCACTGCGTTGCACACTTTTGAGCCAAATTATATGGAAATACCCTCTGCAAGGTTATAAAAATTATAAGGATCGGCAATAATTTTTTGTTTAATATAAATTACTAATATAAATTAAATAGTTTAATATAAAATGAAACTACTTACGCTCCTAGCATTCGTTGATTTAAATAAAGAGGTTCCCAAATATTATATTTGAAAGGATCTCGATATGTTGGAATTTCATTGGTTATTTCAGCTGCGCGTGATTGCCTTCGTGAAAAGCTATTAGAGGAGAAAAATTTAATACAAAAATATTACATAAAATATTAAAAAAACGTACATCCACATTGCTCGAAGTTCCTCGCATGATGGTTCCTGTGAGTTGAGTGCAAATGTTTTTGGCACAAACACTTCACCAACTGTTCTAACATTGGTAGAGGATTCTTCCCTCTTTCTTTCATTGCTATAATTTTCGCTCCTTCCACGATTACGTTGAATCAGATAGCTTGCATCGCTTTGATTTAGATTTGCCAATATAACCAATAAGTCAAATTGAATATACTTTATCTGCAATAATATATTATAAGTTATAAAGCCTAACGAGCACTCTTGAAATCAGTTTTTTTTTCTTACCAATAACCAACTATAATGCATTTTTTATGAAGAGCTCTTAAAATTTCTCAGTTTTCAAAAGTTATTACATTAGATGAAAAATCGCTCCTCTTCTTGCATCGGGCTGCTATATATTCCCAAGAACCAAACCCTCTAGTATTAAAAATAAAATTTGCAATAAGTGTACAAAACATCAATATATATATTTAATATATATAAAATGTGTATATTTGAAGCTATATATATCATTCATATTTTAAACATATATCAATTTATACCTTAAAGTAAAACAATATTTAAAATCGTGCAAGAAAAAAAATTATTTAATAATTGTTTTAGTTTATTTGTTTATATTTTAAATTGACATAAATTTGTTTTTTACAAATTTGTATACCCTAGCTAACTTTTGAGAAGCGAAATCTACTTATAAATATACAAATTGATAAAACAATTTTTTTTTTGTTTAATTTTTGTATTTTTTAAATTATTTATTGTGGTCCCTGGTTAAATCCGACCAAAATAACAATACAGCGGCCCATTGGGACTAAGTTGCATCTAAATCACAAGAGATGTGACCTGCAGTCTTACTGCTTTTTCTTCACATATTTTGCATTCCTTTAAGCTTTGGCTCTTTAAGTGCTCTTTTGGTGCTATAAGTTTATTTTTATTTTTTACGCACTTTATTAAAGTACAATAAAGCGCAACTAAAAGAGTCAAAGGGGTTGTCGGGTCAGGAAGCAGCCGCTGGTTTAGTGTATTGATTATTTATTAGACTTACTATAAGTATGTAAAAATCGATTAGTCGATCGTTCGCTCTCGGCCGCTACACTACAACGGGCCTTTCTTTAGAGAGTTTTAGCTCCACAATGTCTAGGTGGGGCAGCCCTCTTCGATATCGAGAGCTGCAGCTTCGCAATGACTAGTCGGCCAATCTCGGTACGTAACATTAAGTCCCTGCGTGCACCATAAGCTGGTCTAACTTGTTGATCATTTGCCTTAATCTGCATGCAGAATAATCATTTTATAACGTTTCAAGTTGAATACATTCGAAATTTTTTTTTTACCGTCATTGAAAAATATCAATGTCCAATCAGGAGTGATAACAAGCCAATAACCGAGCCGGTGCGGGTAGATACACAAAGGGTATAAAGCTAAGGGTCAGCGCTGCCGCGTCTAGTCGTGTTTCTCCTACAGCTCTTTCTAAAAACGGCCGCGTTATGATTATCCGACGTGGAAAGTAGCTGTCCTTGGAGAGGCAGCGCGGCTGGGAGAAGAATCAATGAGGATTAAGAGGCTCTATATAAGGAGAAATATAGAATGGCCATGCCAGGTCGGTTCCTCTGAAGCCCAATGTACAAAAGTCTTGTTGGGAAATTTCCCGACCACATCAGGTAGCCTTGTCACAAAGCGTAGAAACTGATAGGTCTGGTGTACGGCTTTCCAAATCCTAATCACGACGAACAGGCGTCATCCTGAATAGTAAGGCTTATCGAAGAAACCGATCGGGGACACCACGGACTAGTCAAACGACTCAAGATCCAGGGTCACTAGCGCGTATGCGCGGTGACTCTCTGGTGCAGAGAGCGCCTAGTCTGTAGCTTGTTACGTATCCGGTAGGTAGAGTAAAAAGTAGAGAGGCCCTTCGTGCCCTTGTCTGGCTTTAGGGCACCATTCCCCGTCCTTTGTTCTTCGCACTTGATGTCTGTTTTCGCGTCGCCCACTCTCAATCCCCAAGAAGAGAATTTGTATTTTACTAAAAAAGGGAATTCTGAAGAATTTATTATAGACATACTTCGATGTTGGCACAAGACTCCAAACTCATACAAAATGAATATAAAACAACGGTTTAAAAAAAATATATATCCAGAGTATTTCACAGAGACACTAACATATGTATTTTACATACTCAAAACGAAAGATGGGCCTCAGTGGACCTGCTGGTCTCAGGATCGAATTTCAACTTGATAGGCGAACAAGTACCGTTAATGCTTCAATACTTCGAAGACTTCGGACCGAAGGCCTGGATAAGCAGAGCAAGTGTTCAAGCATTGAACACGATTTTAAATACAAATTCCAAAGGTAGAGTTTTAAGGGATCGAAGCCATGGAAATACGAGACAAGCAGCATGGTCTAAAACCGATCCCCTGCAGCCTAACACAAATACACAAGTGGTGCGCTATCGCAATTAAGAAAGGTCGAATAGCAGGTCAGCGTGCAGTGCGTTAATAAGTAGTTTTAAATAGATTTAAGATTTAAGATGGGGGCTCCTCTTAAGATATGGTCCTTCGAGGCACCTTGACGATTTCCCCCCTGTGGTAAGAGAATCAGGTTTTAAAGTGGCGTCTACAGGTGGCAGCAGAAAAAAAAAATTGTCAGCCCATGGTAGCTACAAAAATTAGGCTGCAATCTCGGTAAAAAATCATAGTCCTCTGTTTTTCCCCCAAGAGGTAAGAAACACAGAGAATAAAATAATATAAATGCCAATGAGCATTCAAATATAAAAATTAAATAAATAAAAAAAAATAATAATAAAAACAAGAAAGGACTTGTTTGACTTCGGGCGGAGCCGAAGTTGATATACCCTTGCAGCTAAAACCGGATATATATCGCAAACATCGGATATTATCCTTGTGGCCGATCCTTATGGGAATATCAAAATAAAACCAATTAATTACAATAAAATATCTAAAAAAAAGTCTCAAGCTTCTATCTTCAAAAATACCAATGTTGGTATTTCTACCAAATACCATTTCCGATCGTTCAGTTATATGGCAGCTATAGCATATAGTCGGCCGATCCTTATGAAATTTACATGTCGTATTATTTTTCCAAAAATAGCTCTCGTGTAAAATTTGAACTCTCTAACCCTAAAAACACCAAAGTTATACCATTTCCGATGAATCATTTATATGGCAGCGATAGGATATAGTCAGCAGATCCCGGGGTTTTGACTTATATACTGCGTGCAAAAGAAAGAAGGGTGTGTGAAAATTTTCAAGTCGATAGCCTTAAAACTGAGAGAGATTTCAACTCAGCAGGTGATCCCGATCATGAATATATATACTCTATAGGGTCGGAGATGTCTCCTTCACTGCGTTGCACACTTTTGGACAAAATTATAATACCCTCTGCAAGGGTATAATGAGTCAAAAAAGGCTCATGAAGTATTCTCAACCCGTATTTTGGAGCTCCTATTAAAATTCGCACCTAAATAGTGGCTAGATGTGCATTGACTGAGTGTCCAAATAGTGGCTAGATGTGCATTGACTGAGTGTCCAAGGTAGCGAAGATGTCTGCCAACTGGGCATAAAAGAGGTCGTTTTAAAATCGTAGCCCTCTGTTTCCCCTCAAGTGGTAAGGGACACAGAGATTGAGAATTGCCATCGAGCAATAAGTGCGTTTTTTGTTTTGCGCAGGACTGACCGAGGCGTTACATCGGAATGCTTATGAAAAATCCTTGTAAAGGTTTAAATATCGAGCAAAAATAAAAAGTCGAATTCATAGGAACAACGACAGCCAAGATCTTTGGCATTTTATTCGGCGGGACCAACGTCTGCGGCAGGACCACCGGGTAGAAGAACAACACTAACGGTAGAAAAAACGGTAACGGTACCAATAAACAAAATTTACAAAGTATGGTATGGTAAAAAGTTAAAAAAAATATTACCAATTTTTTTAAATTATTTACAAAAAATCGATAATAAAGGTAATAATTATCAATTAAACAAAAAACAAAATTCATAAAAATAAGGACCGTAGTATACCAAACAATTAAAAAATTAAAAATTTTGAGACTATCAATTTTTTGGCCCGTTTCAGAATGTTCAGTCTTTTTATTGCAATTGGCATTTAACTATTTAAAAAAAAATTTTTTTATTTTCAGTCTTAAAAAATTGAAGAAAACATTAATATTTCAAAGAACATTAAAAATAAACACAAAAATATAACCAAGGAACTTTTGTGGCCCCTTGCAAGATGTTCAGACATTAGGTTGAACATAAACAAAAGCGTAATCAATTTTAAAATATTTAAAATAGTAAAATTCAAATTAAATAATACTTCACTCATTATTAAAAGAAAAAATGTATTAAAAAAATACAAGAACAAAAATAGACATAAATACAGTCCACTAAAATTTATAATAGAAGGAAAGGTCAAAGTTACATCAAAATCAATCAAAAACACATCAAATTAACCTCTTTACACCTCTTTCGTGTCCCTTTGCAGAATGTTCAAGCATTAAACACGATTTAAAATACAAATTCCAAAGATAGAGTTTCAAGGGATCGGACCTATGAAATACGAGACAAGCAGCATGGTCTAAAACCGATCCCCTGCAGCCTAACACAAATACATAAGACGTGCGCTTATCGCACTCAAGAAAGAGTCGCATAGCATGTCAGCGTGCAGTGCGTTGAAAAGTAGTTCCTTTCTCTTCGGCTCCTCTTAAACAGTAAGAGTAATATTTCTCGACAGAGTGATTGTTTTTTATAGGGATTTTCACCAACGCATAACACCCTTTGTTGTCTCTCACATTAAAGCTGAGCAACCAGCTTAAAAACTATTTCATTGCGATTTGAAAATACCCAATGAGGATCTAAACTAGAGCTCGAAAAATGGGTATCGAATATTAAATACATTGGGTTCCTTACCAAAGGTTTTAAAGGTGCTAGGGCTGCATTGGAACCCTAAGAAGGACACATTGTCGTACTTTGTGATTTGTCGTACTTGAAAGAGTCCAAGCTGCACCAAGAGGCAAGTGTTGTCGAATGTGTCACGCATATTCGAGCCTCTCGGTCTTTAAGCACCAACCGTAGTTCAATTCAAAATACTATTTCAAAAACTCTGGCTGTTGAATTTGAATTGGGACGACGAACTACCGAACAAATAAGCCGACAAATGGCTCAAATGGAGAGCAGATTTAGAAATCCTTCCACAATTCCAGATGTTCCGAATGTACACGCATGTACAGCGATAATCGGGCGACCATTAACGACGATCGCGGAGGCGGATCTTGGAAACAATAGCACCAGGAGTACCCGACTAGTCTTCACCAGCGACCAAAGTGGACCAAGGCAACATCAAGTTTGGCAGCGTTGCGCCAATCAAGGAGTCCAACACACCATTAGCATCGTGACACCTAGCGAGGGTGACCTAGCAAAACCTACCCTTGAAAGGACAACGTCGTGCGAGCAGTAAGGCTCAAGATGGCATCAGGAGAATTGACTACCTATTGATTGACTATTGAGAATTGAATTGCTGTACTACCTCATTAAGAAACAGTGTCTCAGGATGGGCCGGGATGATAAGGAACTATTGCTTAGCTTGCCATCTTTATATTTTCTACATCCATTACACCTAAAATCCAAACAATGTATACACACTAGGAATAAGCACCACCTATGGCAACACTGAAAACTTTCTTTAAGGAGTGTGCCGAAAAGAAATTGCACAATTTGTTTTTAGTATAACTTTCCTGTTTTTATTCCGATTTGACTTTTTTTTATTTTTTTTGTTTAATTATTAGAATTTAATTTCAAAAAAATATTATAGCAATGTTGCACTTCTTATTTTTGATCGAATTTTTTTTTAACACCGCTCATTAGGTTTTGCACACACTCTGTTGTAACCATTTTGGTTGCACGCATCCAGTTTTTTTTCATGTCCTGCATGTTTTTTGAGGTTCTGCCATCCTTTCGTAAGTTGCGTTTAACTATTGCCCAATATCTTTCGATTGGGCGAAGTTCTGGGCAATTTGGGGGGTTCTCCTCTTTAAATGTATAATTTATGTCTTTTGAGTCGAGCAACGCTATGGTGGAACGAGCATAGTGTGTTGACGCTAGATCAGGCCAAAATAGTGTTACCTTATGTTTCTTATAAAATGGTATCAGACGCTTTTTTAGACACTCTCTCATATAAACATCAGCGTTTATTGTTCCTTTTGTGAAAAAAGAGCTGGTTCGTAAGCCACAGGTGCAAATGGCCTGCCATATAAGCACTTTCTCGCCAAATTTTTCCATGTGTATTTTGGACACCGAGTCGTCAACAGTCACACCTTTAGGTTTTGTTTAAATGAGGTCAGATGAGAGGTGTAAATGAGAAATTGAGGTCCTGGTAATGTTTTTGAGTCCATTTTTACATAAGTTTCGTCGTCCATAATAATGCATTCCACTGCATCAGTGAGCAAGCGATCATAAAGCTTTCTCGCTCTCTTTTTGCCGACTTCCATTTGTCGCAGACTTTTTTTTGCAACTTTTTGTTTTTTATATGTTTTTCAATTATGCCGCCGTTTTATTCTTTGTATCATACTTATACTTGTTTGTGCTTTTTTCGCCAAATCTCGAACAGACATTTCATTATTTTTGTGGGTTAAGGCCAATACTTTTTTATCAATACTTTCATCCTTAGGACCCTTTTTTCGCCAAGTTTTTTGTAAATCATTAGTAGAACTCGTTTTCCCAAACTTCATTATAATGTTTTTAACACTATTAACACTAACTATATAACGTTTAGCTAATTGTCTATATGAAACACCTTTTTATACCCTTGCAGAGGGTATTATAATTTTGTCCAAAAGTGTGCAACGCAGTGAAGGAGATTCTTGATTCTTGATCAGGATCACCTCCTGAGTTGATATGAGCATGTCCGTCTGTCCGTCTGTCTGTCCGTCTGTCTGTTTCTACGCAAACTAGTCCCTCAGTTTTAAAGCTATCGTCTTGAAACTTTGCACACACCCTTCTTTCCTTTGCACGCAGTATATAAGTCGGAAAGGCCCGGATCGGTCGACTATATCCTATAGCTGCCATATAACTGATTGATTGGAAATGGTATAACTTTGACGTTTTAAAAGTTAGAGAGTTCAAATTCGACATGAGAGCATTTTTTGGCAAAACACGACATGCAAAATTTCATAAGGATCGGCCGACTATATCCTATAGCTGCCATATAACTGAACGATCGGAAATGCCCCAACTTTCGTGTTTTTGAAGAAAATTTGAACTTCGTACAGATTATATTTTTGGTCAGTTGATCCAACCTACCAAATTTCATAAGGATCGGCCGACTATATCCTATAGCTGCCATATAACTGAACGATCGGAAATGGTATTGGTAGAAATACCAAATATCGTATTTTTAAAGATAGAAGCTTGGGACTTTTTTTTTAAATTTTTTATTGTAAGTAATTAGTTTTATTTTGATGTAATCATAAGGATCGGCCAACTATATCCGATGTTTGCGATATATATCCGATTTTAGCTTCAAGGGTATATCAACTTCGACTCCACCCGAAGTTACCTTTGCCTTCTTGTTTTAGATTTTATATTGTAATAAATTGGTTTAATTATGATATTTTAGTAATGATCGGTCCGAACTATATCCGACTTTTGATATATATTCGGTTTTAAATGCAAGGGTTTATAGACTTCGGCTCCGCCCGAAGTTAGCTTTCCTATCTTGTTTATTTCATTTTTTGTTATTTTAAAAGTTGGAATGGGCACTTCAATAATGTATTTTATTTTACAGAAAGCTTTCCTAGCAACAGTTCTTAAGCAAATGGAAATGTACGATTGTAACCCAATTTCTGAGAAAATTTGTCACAGTGGAAATATTTTTTCAAATAAGGCTTAATCGGAGCAAATGAGAGAGAGAGAGAGAGCCCCACTACGGCCAAACAGTCTGAGGATCACCTGTACAACGCAAAAGGTGAAACCTTTCATAATTAATATTAATTAATATTACAAAAACGAATAATATCGTTTTTTGCATGCTCAGCCTAATTCACATGAGTGAACCGACCGTGCGATTATATCTAAGTATGACTGCTTTTTTGAGACACACCAAACTGAACCTGGCTATGATGTTGATTTATTGATCTTTGAACTGCATTGTTAAAAGCATGTTCAACAGTTTGTACAACTGTATTCAAAGAAGCATCAAGTGTTAGTATTACCATTTACCTGGTTCGGTCAATTTAGCAATTATTGGGCCAATGCCTCTATTAACCCATTCAACCGTACCATTTGCCTGCGAAGATGCAGAAGCTATTTGTATACTCTTGGAAAGGGTATTATAATTTTGGTCGAAAATCCGTCTGTCTTGCTGTTTCTACGCAAGCTAGTTTCTCAGTTTTCAAGCTATTGTCTTTAAACGTTTCTCACACACTTATTTGTATACATACATAGGTATATGTATAGTCAAAACGGCCAGGATCGGCCGACCATATCTTATAGCTGCCATATAACTGATTCATCGGAATGATTCATGCTATAACTTCGGTGTATGTATACCCGGTATAGCCATGTCCGTCTTTTCGTCTGTAAAACATATGGCACATATGAATTAATTTATTTACACTTAAGACTCAAAATTCAGCCAAATTTTTAGAGGAGTTATAGACTTTTTAGTCTGTTTCCGCGTTCTAAAACCACTTTGGCCTACTATAAGCCCTAGTCCTAGAACTGCTTTCCTGGATTTAAGGGCTTAAATTGATAAAGCCTTACAAATTTCATAAACGCACCTATAATTACTAGCACATGCTTGTTACATATACTTTTATCTACAGGACCATAGTGGTCAATTTGTATTAAGTGAATAGTTTTTTGGGGTCCTTGTGAAGAAAACCTTTCTTTTTTTCAGACTTTTCTGAATAGGAAATACATTTCAGGAAATTGTTAATGTGTATCTTGCATTTTTTTCTAACTTTTGAGAACCAGTAGCTTTTTGGAATTACTACCATTTTATCAATATCCTATCAATGTCCTTTTTTAACTAAATATTCTACAAATGAGGCTCAGGGCATCCTATATCCTATATCCTATATCCTATATGCTATATGCTATATCCTATATCCTATATCCTATATGCTATATGCTATATCCTATATCCTATATCCTATATCCTATATCCTATATCCTATATCCTATATCCTATATCCTATATCCTATATCCTATATCCTATATCCTATATCCTATATCCTATATCCTATATCCTATATCCTATATCCTATATCCTATATCCTATATCCTATATCCTATATCCTATATCCTATATCCTATATCCTATATCCTATATCCTATATCCTATATCCTATATCCTATATCCTATATCCTATATCCTATATCCTATATCCTATATCCTATATCCTATATCCTATATCCTATATCCTATATCCTATATCCTATATCCTATATCCTATATCCTATATCCTATATCCTATATCCTATATCCTATATCCTATATCCTATATCCTATATCCTATATCCTATATCCTATATCCTATATCCTATATCCTATATCCTATATCCTATATCCTATATCCTATATCCTATATCCTATATCCTATATCCTATATCCTATATCCTATATCCTATATCCTATATCCTATATCCTATATCCTATATCCTATATCCTATATCCTATAACCTGAAAATTGTATCAACCTTTTTTTTTTCATTGTTGATTATATATACACATGTAAGTATTGAGTGCAATTTTAAAAGTGCATTTTAATAACAGGTGCTGTGCAAAAACATGAATTACTTGGTGCAATTAATAAGGAAAATGTTCGTTTTCACGTATAAATAATCATTTACTTTTTCCGGTATTTATAAAAGTTTCCATTTATGCTTTTAAGCATGTTTATAAAGATGCGTTTTGTAACCAACATTCCCAGCGCTATATAATAAAGCAAAACTTGGGAAAAGCACTTAGGGAACCATGGTAAATTAAGGAGTCCGTTTATCAGGTAAAATATTCTCCATTCCCAAATTAAAAACGATACAAGGTCCTCAACCTGTTAAAATTGGGTGTTAAATAATTTAAAAAATGCGAATTACAAGAAAAAAAAATGTTTAATTTAATTTTCAGGGTTCTCACTGCAAATATATACATAGTTAAAGTATTTTAATTAAGAAAATGTTACCTTTAATACAGCTCTGTTTACCACCCACCACCTTTTTAATTTATATGTATGAATAATAACTTGATAATTTTTTTTTTAAATTTATACTCAGTAGATGAATAAAGGTGTTGTTTTGTATATGTATTGTGTTATGGTATAAGTATATTACTTCGCACTTTTTCCCTCAGGAATAGAGCATGTAGACACATGCGCAAAGAGAACTCTTGGGATATTTAGCTTTTTATCCTAAGTACGATGTATATGTATATGTAAGATGTATATCCTAATCAATAATTTTGAAGTTTTATCACTTTTTAAAATGTAACTTAAATTTTATCAATGCATATAACATTTTTTTAAAATTAAGAAGATAGAAACGAATTTTTGTACTTTTTTTACCTGATATGCGTTTTCTTATGAAGCCTATCTTTTTTTATGAACAAGATTCGGGTGTGGTAGTTTCGTCTAATAAAGCTTTTTGGTACTTATTTTTACAGAAGTATACTAAAATTGCTAAGTCATTTTTTTCGTTTGTATATAACCGTTTCGGAACTTTTACAAAAATACTAAAGCATCTTTAAATTTAATAAATAGAATAAGTAAGATAATATCAGAAAATTTTAGACTACTGGAATTCAATTTTCTTGATACAAAGTAGGAAATATTTTTATTTAATATCATGGGATATATAAAATATAAAGTAAACTTATTTTGACTTCTTAAAAAAGTTTCTGCTTGTGTATAAATTTCTAAAATTGATTTTATTTATTCAGTTTAGGTACGTTATCAAACCCTTGCAGAGGTTTTTATAATTTCTGTCAACAGTATGCAATGAAGTAAAAAAAATCTCCGAGCCTATAAAATATATATATTTTTGATCATGATCACGATCTGCTGAGTCAATATGAGCATGTCGGTCTGTCTGTTTTTACGCGAACTAGTCTCTCAGTTTTAAAGCTATCGACTTGAAACTTTGCACACATCCTTCCTTCCTTTGCACGCAGTATATAAGTCGGAATGGTCGGGACCGGCCGACTATATGCTATAGCTGCCCTATAACAGATTGATCGGAAATGGTATAACTTTGGTGTATTTATTGTTAGAGAGTTCGGCTTTTGCATAAGAGCTATTTTTGGTAAAATAATACGACCCATTTTATAAGGATCTGCCAACTATATCCTATAGCTGTCATATAACTGAACAATCGGAAATGACCTAACTTTCGTGTTCTTTGAGAAAAGAGAGATAAAACATTTTAATAAATAAAATTGTAATAAATTGGTTATATTATGGAAATCTCATTAGGGTCGACAAACTGTAACCGATGTTTGCGAAATATATCTGGTTTTAACTGTAAGGGTATATTAACTTCGGTTCCGGCCGATTTTGAATTTTTTTGCTCAGAGAATAATGATTATTTCTGATTTTTATTTTTTTCCTCAGAGAATAATGATTATTTTTTGGTTTTTAAAATAAATCTCATAATGATAAAGGTCCTTATCAACACTATCCCGCAAATCCGCTTTTACAGCACTGGCACGCCACAGACGTCCAACCCCATTTATGGTACTGATTTACGAACTTTTTCGAATGTATTTCGAGACTGTACTTATTCTTTAGAAACTAATTTTTAAAGATTTAGTCAATTAAATTTAAGACTTCCTCCTTTTTTTCTACAGACCCTTAGCTCTATTAATAGTTAATAGACCCTTAACTATTAAAGGCTTTTTGATTCACTGTGGCGAAAGATTTTTGAATCTTCCAGGATCTCGGATTTACATCTCCGAGGATGTCTTCCCAATCTTCCAGGATCTACAGGATTTAGTTAGCATGGCTTAGAAGCTCGATAACTTTTGATTCTTTAATCTTGCAGATCCATGTATTGGCACTTGCGCGGTTGGTAGCAGAATGGCAGGGTTACCTTTCGCGAAAAAAATGTTTTTGCATAGTTGTTTTTCTCTACAGCAGTTCATTTTTCCATAGTTGAGATTCGGTTTGTGGCTACTCCTGCTTGAAATTAGAATTTTGAAACTTTTGAATTTCAACCGGTGCCATTATAAACCTTGAGTGTGTAGATTCGTGTCTTTCCTATGGCTCTTCGTCTAAAAATGTTAAATATTCAACTCACACGAATTGATCTTTTATATGTTGTCTGGTGAGTGAAACTTCATTTCATATTCTTTTCTTCCTTTTCTTATGCTAATATACCGCTCGCACTACTTGAAATCGATCCAAATCGACGAGGTCGTGTTGCTAGTTGGCAAGTCTCCAAAAAACGTTTAGGCGTCGCCACTAAGCTGCCCGTGGAGCCTCAAATGAACCATACCTGACCAACGCGGATCTGGCTCTGAACTCTACACCTCGTAGGGTCAAGAGTCAACCCTTGCATGGACCTCACTACGCGCAAGGGTAAGCATGGAATCAATGACGCTACTGCACAACACCTAAGAACAATGGCTCAGCAGTTGGGACCCATTAAAATAAGCAGTTTAACAACTCAAAATTCAGATGGAGGAAGCTCTCGCAAAAAGCTGCAATATAATAAAATCACCCAGCAGAAAGCTGGATGGTACCCCTCCTATTTCAGGGATCCGAGTGGATCAGAACAGGAAAATGCGTGACAAACTTCGCCCCTATTTTGACCAGTAGCGGAAGCCAGAAGGAAGGGAACAGACACAGAGGAAAGTGCCCAAGGAAAGGCCAAAGCCGGATACACTTGTTATCCGGTCAAGGGCGAAACAAGCTACGCTAATATCCTGAGACGGGTGAAGTAGGACAAGAAGCTTCAAGGACTAGAGAAGCAGTATCGAGAATTAGGAGGACCCAGAAGCTATAGCCATAGGAAAGTTGATGGAATCTCAACCAACATGAGATTCTCCAACAGGAGACGACTCCTCAGAAAATAAGGGAAAAAAGAAAAAACATCCAGCGAAGGTTTTGTCCGGGATAAAATAAATGGTGTTTTTAACATTTAACAGCTGCTACACCTGGGAGGTCAGTGGTGCTTTTACTTTCAGCGACCACCATCCATACTTTTCACCCTTGAAGGGGTAAGTAGGAAACTGAATCTCAAGGTGCCAGGACCGAAATGGAAGGGCACGCGCTTGGATCGAGAAGCACTCTCAGTAACTTTTGCGATGCTGGACCGGACCATATCATCCTCCCCAGAGGGAACAGCGGAGGAACTTTAAGGATCGCTATCAGATGCCTGCGTCAGGGCCATATCAAGGAGAAAACCCAGCAGAAAAGGATCACCAGTATAAAAGGTGGAACCAAGTCATCAAGCGATTAAGGACTGCCTGCCTGCGTGCAAGAAGACGTTTCCAAAGGGCAAGAACCACAGATGAACCAGAACGGAGGAGTTCAAGGAAACTAAGAGGGTTCTGAAACTGGCTTTAAAAGACATTAAACGCGAATGCTTCAGAAAAATCTGCGACGAGGCGGAGGTGGACCCATGGGGAACAGTCTGCAAGGCCGTCATGAGAAGGATTTAAGGGCACATGCCCTACCCTAGTAAGGAACATAGTGGAGTCACTGTTCCCGAAGCCCCCCCCAAAAAGGGAAATTATACCAGCTGATGATATGGAGCCGTTTACTTTATTTATTTATTTCGCCAACGGACAAATCCTTACATGGCTACACATAATAACAACTTACACCTAATAAATAAAACTACAAAATTAAGAAAAACTTAATAAATGCCTGATTAACTTGCGTTTTAACACACCCTTATCAGAGCCCCACTCAATTCGGAGGCTAGGCGGCACAGATTCTATTTTTGGTCAGTTAATCCGACCTACCAAATTCCATATCGATCTCATTTTCATTTTCATTTCATAACGACTATATCTCATAGCTGCCATATAACTGTATTCTCTATATATAACTATATTCTCATAAGGATCGGCCAACTATATACGATGTTTGCGATATATATCCGGTTTTAACTGCAAGGGTATATCAACTTCGGCTCCGCCCGCGGTTAGCTCTCCTTTTTTTCAGTACCACTTCAACCTCTGAAGAGACAAGTTGTATTACAAAGTGAGCACCTGCGTGAACAAACCCCATAAAGCTTATCAGCAAAAATTGAACAAACAAATATAAACCACAAAGAAAAATTTAAAAACCCAACAACTGAACTAGAAAACACATTGCATAGGCATCAAGTACCCTCATTAATAGTGGGGGGACTTTTATGGTTGGCACCCAGCCTGGGGTTCCCCTCCCTCTAACCCAAGAGGTATACTTATACAAAAATTTATCGACACATCCCAACTTATCCTCTTAAACTAGAAATCACCAACACATTTTTCAACACACAACACATACACACACATTGACCTTTCCCTTTGCTCGAGATCACTAGCCCCACACACTAAGTGGAAAATACTCAATGACCTTTATGGGAGCGACCACTTTCCAATAATCATCTCCCTTTTTCCATTAAACAAGGTAAATAAATTTAGCCAGGTTCCACCAAGGTTCCCTGGTGGAATAAATACTTAGCTCACTCACAAAAAGAAAAACAATTACCTTGGAACACCCTTAATCGCAACATAAACCTTCAAAACATAACAGATTACAGATGCAATAATGCCAAATATAGATTGTTTGGTCATTGAGCGTTTTCAATGCCGTAAATAAAAAGACGAATTTAATTAAGTTTAGACGTTACAAATGTCCTGCATGCAGATCAAGCCGGATGATCCGCAGATAGACCAGCTATGGTGCATGCAGGGACTCAAGTAAAATACAGAGAGGGCGACCCGACTGGTCACTGCGAAGCTAAAGCTCTCGAATAATGGAGAGGGCGGCCCGACCTAGACACTGCGAGCTAAAACTCTCTATGGAAAGCTTGTTGAGTCGAGCGGCCGAGAAATAGTCGGCTTGCGATCAACAAAGCCTTTGTACAAACTTAAGCCTAATAAATAATCATTACACTAATAATTACACTAAACATTACATAAACATTATTTAAACATAAACATTAAACGCCGTGCTGCTGCTTGACCCGACATAGATTTAAAAAAAAAAAAATACAAATCTTTCTTCAATGATTTAAAAAAAACTCTTTCGGTTATATGCTGGTCTGTCATTCGACTACGGGAGTCACAGACAATACATTTAATGGCAGAAGCCAACCGTTCAGATGGAACCGTACTTCCAGGCGTGATAAGATAACTTAATGCCAATTTCTGGCTTAAGAGTGACCAAACATAAAATATCGGAAATACCAACTCAAAAATATTATTATCGACTATTTTTGTCCAAAAAATATTCCGATAATAATATTTTTTTAAGAGAAAATATATCGATATATTGATATTTTGATATATTTCCGACATCCCTACTGAGAACCCCAAATTCTCAATGCAAAAGGACCCATGGCAATGCTAGCCCATGAAATCAAACGGATTTAAAATCTTGGCAAACGCCTATGAAGTTGAGGCGGCTAAATCTACTGAAGTCATAAAAAAAAAAGCTTTTT